TTGCCGTGGCGGTAGTGTCCCATCTCTGGTCGCGCCGGCGGCGCTCCTTGATGACATCCGCTGTCTTCTGCAGCTTCCTCTGCCCACCTCAGCTGCCAGGCTGGGAGGAAGATTGCAGAGACAGTGAGACCGGCCAGCCAGAAAGTTATGCAGCAGGGGAAAAGAAGGTACATGGAGGATCTGTGCACCGCCCCCCCACCACCAGGAGAGAAGAGGGCACCTGAATACCAGCTAAGTGCACTGTAAGTCCCTTTTCTTTCTTCCTTACACTGTGCGTCACGCTGACCCTGCACTGTGCGTCACACTGACCCTGATCGTGGACAAGGTAAGAGACGCTACGCTGCAATCCCGAGTGTGGCTCGGGGTTAGCGCTTATGGTACTGAAAATTAACCCCGAGCCTGACAACTACATGCGGCAGCAGATTCTTCTTTAAACGATCCGTTAATGCAATACTGACATAATGGTTTTGAAGAGGAAGCATTAAGTTTCGCCCCACAGACTGCACATTTCTTTTTAGGCATATTCTTAACCTTGTCCTGGAGCTTTTACCTATAAATAAAACCAAAAAAGGTCTGCTGAGCATAAAATCCAGGAAGCATGCCACAAGAGTCCACCAGTGCAATCCACAACAAGGCCTTCACACCAAAAACGAGCCCTCAGTGAAAATGCAGAGAATAACAGTCAGGAGAGAGCCACAAGAGAAGCGCTGGCTTACCTGAACAGAAGCAGCACTTGATGTGGCTGCATCCACTGGAGTAGCTGGCTGGGAAAACTCCATGTCCCCGTTTCCTCCATTTGCATTGTCCACAGGCTCTCCTGAGGATCCACGCTATAACGAGCAGCGCCGCTGTCGCCCATCCTCTTCCCCTGCACCAAAACGAGGCCCGGCGCCTGGAAGTGATGCTTCCACTACCAGAAGTGACGTCACACGCCACTCGTCAAGTGCTGGAATGCAGGAGAAGCTCACCTTATGGGATTCCCATTTCCGTTCCACGAATAGCACCAGGGGGGAAACGGCAACCTCCAGTACGGAACCTCACCAGCTAATGAGGAGGAAGAAGACCTCCTCTGTCGCATGCAGCCATAGAAGAGGTACTGGGGCACATGAACTGATCATATAGCCCTTACAGAGAGAAAAGCTCCAGGATGACATCTTTCCTCCAGACGGAGGAAACGCGATAACTGAGGGGATGTGGTGGAGGTATGCCTTTTATCTGGATTTTGGGTGATGTGTTTACCTTCTGGAGGAGGAGCTACACTCTCTTAGGCTGTCCTGGAAGACGACTGGGGGAAAATATGTTTGAGCAACAGGTCATTGAAGTGATTTTAATATATAATTTTATTACATTATTTAATAAACTGGTTGTATTTTATTTTTATTGTGTTTGGTTGTGTCTTGTGGTACCTTTAAAGCCCCCTTTAAAGCTCTTTTTGTAGAAAAGAGAAGTAAAGACAACCCTTTTTTTTGGTTTTACTTCTCTTTTGGGTCAAGAGGACATTTACTAATGTATTTCCATGATGCAAAGTCAGCAGATAGCGGTCTAAAGTCCGCTATCTACTGACAGCGCAGAGTCGTGCCACAGCCAGGACAATATTGTCAGGAACCACCCAAGAGCTGCCTCTGCCTCTCTAGAGCCAGAGCAAGCCATGCACACCAACTCCCCTGTCTGCCCCACCAGTGAGTGCTGGAGGACAGAGAGGGGAGGTGGAACCCCTGCAGGAAGGAGTGACTGACAATCACTGCTCTCTGCAGCGGTTACATGATTGCTTAGCTCTTGGAGTCAGCCTGTACCAGCTTCAGTTTCCCACCCTAGTGGAGAAGTATATTTTACCCTCTCTACTTCTTTAAATATGAAATAAGAACAGGAGTGCTCTGTCCCCCAAGTGAATGATAGAGAAATGCTGTGTGCACTGCTAGACAACCAAAAATAGGAATAGGGCCATTTTTGAAAATAAAAAGGAGCACATTGGATTCACATAACTGTATCATCTCTGGGCCAGAATCTTAGTCCAGAAGTAGTTCCTGACCCTGGATAGTGCATAAACAATGATGTCTCTTTTCTTCTGGAGAAAAAGGCTGAGGAAAGCTTTGTTAGGGGACGTATTAAATATTTGTAAATAAGAATGCACCGATACCGATAGTAGTATCTTTGACAGTGCTGCTCTAGCTGCACATCTCCTCCTCCTTCCCGCAGAGACCGACACAGCCCTGGACAATCCCATACCTGCCGGTACAGCCCTGGTCAGACCTCTATAGCCGGTGGTATTCTGCATTGCTATATAATGTATTGCTGGGAATTGTAGCCCTCTATAGCTGGTGGTGTTCTGCATTGCTGTATAATGTATTGCTGGGTTTGCTAGTCAGCTAGGAGTCAGTAGCAGAACTACCAGGGTCGGAGCAGTTGCAGCTGTGAGTGGGCCCTGGTGCTCCACATTGTCCTAAAATCATTGGGTCTGTATTGTAACCAGGGTAGTTGCGCTAGGATATATTTACAGAAATTAACCAGCTGCAGCAATATCTATCAACGTGATCAAGTGTAAGCCGGGGTGCTGCGCTTGGTTGTGTGTGATCCACCTTTTAATTGGTCTTTAAGTTGTGTGAAAATATCACAAACTAAATACAGTGCCACTGATCAAATCCTAATTGCGGCTGTATACTGAAAATACAAGTCGAAAAAAGGAAGGTAAATGTGTTCGTGAATAAATATTAAATATTATGTTAACAATGTAAATATCGCAAGATATGTGTAGCATATGTAAATAAATAAAATATTGTCGTGTGGAAACAAGTTATATTGTGAATAATAAATAAATAAGATCTGGTTGTTTTATTATTCACAATATAACTTGTTTCCACACGACAATATTTTATTTATTTACATATGCTACACATATCTTGCGATATTTACATTGTTAACATAATATTTAATAATATTTAATATTTATTCACGAACACATTTACCTTCCTTTTTTCGACTTGTATTTTCAGTATACAGCCGCAATTAGGATTTGATCAGTGGCACTGTATTTAGTTTGTGATATTTTCACATTTTCACACAACTTAAAGACCAATTAAAAGGTGGATCACACACAACCAAGCGCAGCTCCCCGGCTTACACATTGGGTCTGTATTGTTTTAGAAAAAATGTCACATTAAAAAAAAAAAGTATCAGTAATTGGTATTAGCGAGTACTTGAGGAACAGTAATGAAACTTGGTCTTGACAAAATGGTATTGGTGCATCCCTATTTGTAAGTGTTATACTTACACATTACATAGCACTAAAAATTAAAAGGATATCTAAAAAGGATATCTGATGCTAGGCCCACTTTAAATCAATGTACTGTACATTATATTAAACATATTTAAAGCACATGAGCACATTTCTATAATAGCTGTGATATAGCAAGTGTTGCATCTTCCTTTCTTTAGCATGGGTTACTGTATTTTTTGTAAAACATAAAAGTGTGGGTCACGTCGGGTAAATAGACACCAAACATGTCAAGCCTTAAAATTGCGTGCGCTCGCAAAATTGTAAAAGACGCCCATGGGCAACGATTAAAATGCGTTTACTGCTCATCAGTTTAGTGTTATCAGTGATTAATGGCTCTAAAATTATTGCTCTCACTCCGACGTATACGGCGATATGTGACATGTGCGGCACAATAGGCGCAATCATCATTTTTGCACGTAGGCATATCTGCGTGTGTATGTGGGGGGCGGGGACTTTAAAAAAAGTTTTCTTTTTTCATTTTGTTTTATGCTTATTTTTTTTATTGATTCTTTAATTTTTGTATTACTTTTTTTTTACACACACAACTTTATTGCTATTACATGGGGGGCCAAGAAGCCCCCTATGTGATAGCCAATTTACATGACAGGTCCTCTTAATGGAGACATCAGGGGTCTCCAAGACCCCTAATGTCACCTAGGGACCCCCAGAGAAGCTGATGAAGCAGAGATCTGCTTCATCAGCTTCTGTAGCTGGAGAGTGACACTGAATGCAGGAAGTGATGTAATATACATCACTTCCTGCTTTCGGGGACTGAGAGGAGATGAAAGGGAGTTCGTACACTGAACTCCCTTTGAACTCCTGTCACAGAGCCGTGCCGCACCGGGCACAGCGGATCTCGGGACCGGCAACGGCAGTGACAGTTGCTAATACAAGCGATCGAATGTAAAGCTCCCGGCCGGCCGTGTAATTACAACGAGTGGATTTTTCAAGCCCTGCTGATTATGAAGATTTGTGCCATTGTTTGCTTTATAGTGCGGCACTTCAAAACACATTTAGGAAACTTATTTGTTTATACTTTTAAAATCTTAAAGAGGAACTAAACCGTCCTACACTTTTGTAGCCGCAGACACCACCATCTTAACCTCTATTTCGATCTGCGGTTGCCATGCTGCTGCACATTTGATCAGCTACGACACCAGACGTTTGATGGCTTCAAAGTTCGGTTTAGACCCCATTCACACTGAGCGACATGGAAATCGTGCGACTTTGAGCGACATTGAGCGACGTATCGTGCGACATCTTCCTATTGGGCTGTATGCAATCAGGAGCAATATCGCTCAAAATCGCTCTAAAAAAGGGTCATGTAGGAGCGAAAAGCTACCAGCGACGAGCTACAAGCGATATTGAGCAATATTGAGCGACGAGATGTGAATAGCTACATTGAAATGTATTGGTGAAGCTACATAGAGCGATATAGCGCGGAAATATGAGCGATATCGCTGCAAAAATCGCTCCATAAATCGCTCAGTGTGAATGGGGCCTAAGAGCTGACATGAGCTCACTGTCAACTGTCACCGGAGACATGCCTTGAAGTAGCATACACTGCTCATATGTTAGTAGACAGAATGTGAATGAAAACCCTGCAGAAAACAACATCTGTGTTGATTAGGAATTTGAGCATTTCTAACTTGAGCTTTCTTTTGGGAACCCATTAAAAGGAGTGGGTTTAGTTGCATTTCAACTACAAAAAACACAATCGCCATACCTCCAGTAAAGTTATTGCCCCAGTAAAGTCACGTTGAGACAGCAATTCATCCAGTTTGGGAACTTTCTTTCCCTTTTTCTTGTGTTTATCAGCCTGCTGTAGATCGCTGCCTACGGCAGGTTTAGCACGTGACAGAATCTAAAATAAAATAAACAGATCACTTGTAGATAAATTACTAACTAAAATATAAATGTGTAATATCTGAGGCACCATTTTAGATGACAGGAACACCTAATAGCTACAGATAATAAAGTGTTAATTGAAACGACATGCGTAATATTCTTATTAATATAATTAATACATCACTCCAAGTGAATTACCTACAAAGGACCAAAGTGATCTATGTATAAACAATTTGCACAGCCATTCACCCTGCAAATCTTTGTGAACGTTCATTCTGTGTGAATAGAGGCAAAAACACAAATATTCTTAGCATATTTTCTTTTCAGGTTGAATGTAATGCAATATCACATGGCCACTAGATGGAGCGGAGGAGCATAAAAATACTAAGACTCGGTTCACACCTAGCGTAGCGTAACAGTGTGTCACATTTTACGCACGATTGTTATCTGTGTCTGCCACACGTCCCCATTGATTTCAATGGATTCCTATACACACAAACGCAGAAGAGTAATGCATGTAGCAAAATCTGCAACCTGCATTCCACTGAGTAAGAACTCGCATACTCCCAGCCGTCTTTGTAGTGCCATTAACTATTGATGCGCATTTTGCCTTTGTGCGTTGGACGCGCGTCCGCAAAACACCTAGGTGTTAACCGAGCCTTAAAGTAGAAGTAAGGTTACATAAAAAAAAAAAAAAAAATGCTGATCGCCAGGATTTCTATAACAAAAGAGATTGTGCAAGTCTTTTTTGGCATAAAAGCATCTTGATGCCATTCAGCAATGTTTTATTCTGTACACTGAGCTGCACATGCACAGCTCAGTTCACAGACCCGGAGGCATGCAGAGATAAAGTAACTCCTGCGCAAACTTTGGGAGATACGTCATCGGGGCTATGCATGCACATTGTGGCTAAAAACTCCAGGACACTCCATCTAGTGGCCATAATGTGGTATTACTTTACATTACATTTGACCTGGAAAGAATATATATTTTAAAGAAATAAAAGAAATTATTTTAAGTACGTTCATTTTTACCTTCACGCAAAACGAACGTTCACAAAGATTCACAGGGCAAATGGTCCTGCAAATTGTTAATAAATAGAATCTAGAAGTGTCCAGATACCTTGTAAATATCCACATACACTATATTGCCAAAAGTATTGGGACGCCTGCCTTTATACGCTCATGAACTTTAATGGCATCCCAGTCTTAGTCCGTAGGGTTCAATATTGAGTTGGCCCACCCTTTACAGCTATAACAGCTTCAACTCTTCTGGGAGGGCGTCCACAAGGTTTAGGAGTGTCTATGGAAATGTTTGACCATTCTTCCAGACGCATTTGTGAAGTCAGTTACTGATGTTGGACGAGAAGGCCTGGCTGGCTGTCTCCTCTCTAATTCATCCCAAAGGTGTTCTATCGGGTTGAGGTCAGGACTCTGTGCAGGCCAGTCAAGTTCCTCCAACCCAAACCCGCTCATCCATGTCTTTATGGACCTTGCTATGTGCACTGGTGCACAGTCATGTTGGAACAGGAAGGGGCCATCCCCAAACTGTTCCCACAAAGTTGGAAGCATGAAATTGTCCAAAATGTCTTGGTATGCTGATGCCTTAAGAGCTCCCTTCACTGGAACTAAGGGGCCAAGCCCAATCCCACACCATAATCCCCCCTCCACCAAACTTTACACTTGGCACAATGCAGTCAGGCAAGTACCGTTCTCCTAGCAACCACCAAACCCAGACACGTCCATCGGATTGCCAGACAGAGAAGTGTGATTCGTCGCTCCAGAGAACACATCTCCACTTCTCTAGAGTCCAGTGGTGGCGTGCTTTACACCACTGCATCCGATGCTTTGCATTGCACTTAGTGATGTAAGGCTTGGATGCAGCTGCTCGGCCATGGAAACCCATTCCATGAAGCTCTCTACGCACTGTTGTTATGCCAATCTGAAGGCCACACGAAGTTTGGAGGTCTGTACCTATTGACTCTGCACAGTTGGAGACTTCGGCGCATTGTGCGCTGACCCCCCTCTGTCATTTTACATGGCCTACCACTTCGTGGCTGAGTTGCTGTTGCTCCCACTTTGTTATAATTCCACTAACAGTTGACCGTGGAATATTAAGTAGCAAGGAAATTTCACGGATGGACTTATTGCACAGGTGGCAACCTATCACGGTACAACGCTTGAATTCACTGAGCTACTGAGAGCGAACCATTCTTTCACAAATGTTTGTAGAAGCAATCTGCATGCCTAGGTGCTTGATTTTATACACCTGTGGATATGGAGGTGATTGGAATACCTGAATCCAATGATTTGGAGGTGTGTCCCAATACTTGTGGCAATATAGTGTATATCATACATAAATAGCAATTAAAAAAAAAAACTCCAGTAGGACTACAAAGCATTTTGATGAGCATTGTAGAGCATTGAGAAATGCACAACATGAAGAATCCCCTTTTCAATAGTGCCTGAGCACACCTGAATGTTGTGCTGCTGGTTGTTTGAAGCTCAAAAAAAAAAAGTACATGAGCTTCTTTTCAGACAAAATTATGCAATTCTGGCCCACAGACTACAATGGGAGCACCTGAAAAGCAAGTGCAACGCAGCTTTTTTGCACAATTTTGCACCTAACCATCTCCTCCTCCTGGTAATTAGCTTTCCACTGGCTAAAACAAAAGTTCTTAAGCCTAAATATATAAACTGAGGGGATTTACGAAGACTGGATCGGACAGAATCTAGAGCAGCTGCGCATGGCAACCAATCAACTTCTTTCATTTGCAAAGCTTAAAGTGACATTAAAGTCAAATTGTTTTTTCCCCTCCCCCCCCATGTTAATGTTAGCACTTACCTTAAATTATGTCTCTTATTCCGATCTTCTTCTTTCCTGATGGTTTCATCTGTCCCTCCAGCGGTGCGGCGGCTCTCCGATCCAGCGCTGACTGCTCTGTCACTCCTATCCAGCGGTGTCTGCATGCGGGTGCATGCGTCCATACACTTACCTTGCGTCTCTGCTCTTCTCCCGGCCGAGAATCCGAACTGCGCATGCGCCCGCCCTAAGATGCTTTGCGGCCCCCGAACAGTATCGTTTTCTCGGGCGGGAGCGCGCAAAGAAAAAAAGGTATGTTTAAACCGCTGTTTTAGCGGTTTTTTTTAATTAAAATGTTTGCCTATATCTACTGCTTGTTAGCAGTAGATATAGGCAAAAAAACGGGAGGGTTTAGAACCCCTTTAACTGAACAGTGAAGTTGATTGGTTACTATGCACAGCTGCCCCAGATTGTATCTGCTCTAGTATTAATAAATACCCTCCACTGTATTTTACATGCACGGATATATAACAGCCTGCCAGGGCAAGGGACACAGCTACCACAAATTAAAAACTATAGAAATGTATTAGCACTTTGAACAGTCCATTCCTGGCAACGTGTAAATGCATTTTTCTCCAATTGATCACACAATCACATCCTCACCATCTTTCCCCGACAACAGACCGCTACAGGAGCTACTTAACTCCAACTAGCTCCTTCCTGACTTGTTTGCTTAGCAGCAACCACAACCGATTCCGTTCCCTAGGCAACAACGAACGATTATTCTGCGCAAACATGTAAACGCCCTACTCACATGTCTGGAAAAACAAATCCGCTATTCTTAGCTAGAATTTCATGGCCTCTTTATGTGTTTTAATACTTCGGAGCTGTACTAAAATATTAACGATAACTGAGATAGTAGGCTATGGTTTCTTCATTTGTATACTGTTTCCAGTTTCAAATATGGCGAATAAACAGTTTCCGGTTTCTATAGCATGTCGGTTAAATGAGGCGAGGTCAAGTTTACGGACTATCTGTGGGGGTCAAAGTATGGTATTCATCAGAAGGTGGTGAATACATTTCAAAACATGTCTGACAAGGGTAGAATACACGTTTTCATTGGGGCGCCGACTATAACCACAATTCTTCCTCAGGAAATATGCAGATATTCTGATGATGTAATGATACGTGAGTGGAACGAGTGTTGTTACTTTAATAAGCTGGAAATTCTAAGCTTACAGAGCAGCAGTCCTAGGAAGACACACATGGATAATACGTCATCTGATGGTGTTCCAACCTGGACACAGGCTTCTTCAAATCCCTTGTATAATATGAGTGATGGTGGAGAGATTTTACAACAGTCATCTTTCACGTGTGATCCCAAGATGGCGGCTGCTGGTTTTACATTGGACAGTTGTAAACATGTCTCTAATATAAAGCATGCTCCTTTGATTTCGTGTGCCCAGGAACCTGCTGCAAATGTGCTTTGTGAGTTCTTAGATTTGTCAGTCCATGAAAAAATTCAAGACTCGAATGCTGACATTTTACACAGTAATTGTGCGACTACTACTAAAATGGAGTTTCTTACAGTATTGGCATCTACCCAGATTGCTGTACAGGACCATGTGAGTATTTTTGAAGATTTGTTTGTTTAAAATAAAGCCCAGTCTGTGGCTATTAGGGGTGCAACGATACTGGTTTTTCCGTATCTAGTACAAGTACCGATATTTGTTTTTGGTACACGCCCATACCGCTACCGGCATCCGTGGGCCTGGATTATCAGGAAGCCGGGCGGTGGGTCATAACCCACCACCCGGCTTCCTGATTGCCGGGTAAGCTGGTGTTCCATCAAAAGAACAGCAACAGTTTCACTTCCCCTGCGACACTGAGAGGCAGCCTAGTTTGTTGCAAAATCAGGGAGGGGGTCATGACCTGGCTTCAGGAAGCCAGGCTGCCTAGCAATGAGTGAAGCCGGCTTCTTAGCCAATCAGGAAGCCAGGAGGTTTGTCATGACCCACCTCCTGGCTTCCTGATTGATCAGGAAACCAGGCTGCCAAGCAACAAGTGAAGCTGGCTTCCTTGCCAATCAGGTACCTGGCGGCACGGCATGACCCAGCTTCCTGATTGGCTGGGAAACCGGCTTCATGATGCGAGGCAGCCTGGTCTTGACATGTCGGTCGGCTTCCTGATTTGTCAGGAATCCAGGCTGCCTAGCAAGAAGTGAAGCCGGCTTTCTAGTCATTCAGGTAGCCAGGAGGTCATGACATGACAGGACAGGATAGGACATGACAAATACTTGGTATCGGCACTGATACTAGTATCGGTGCATCCCTAGTGGCTATACAATGCTCTGCAAGTTATTTAATAGAACATGCAATTCAGTCTGCTACTGATGCATATGCAAAAACCTCCCACTGCATTGGGACCCCCCCTTGCACTGCAAGCATTGACTGCTTGTTTTTGTTTAGAGGTTTTGTTTAACCCTTTTGCCGTAAAGGCATTTTTTGCAAACATTTTATAATCCACATTTTAGGCTTTAAAATTACTTAAAATCTCTGAGAGTAAATATTTCCTGAAAGCACAGAGCCTGTAGAATAAAATGGCGGCAGTTGCAAATTTTTACGTTGCATGATAATGGCGCAACTCGTTATAAAACTCAAAATTGCTGTAAAAAATACACTTGTTCATTCTGGTGCACAAAAAAAGCATAATATAATACCCATTTTGTAAATGTGAAAGAGGAGGTTGTGCCGAGTAAAAAGATACCCAACATGCCAGGATTGAAAATTGCATGCTCTCAGGAAACGGTGACGAAATACGGTACCCCAAATTGTCCATAGATAACACTTTAAAAGCCCATATAGGTCATACTCGGGGCTTGAAAAATCCTCTCGTCTGTGATGAGAGGACGGCCGTTGTAATTACACGGCTGACCAGGAGCTTAACATTCAAGCGATCGGGCGTCTCTCGCTTGTATCAGCAGCTGCTGCCGATGCGGGTCTCGAGATCTGCTGTGCCCGGTGCGACCGGGACCGGCACGGCTGCTCTGTGACAGGATATCAAAGGGAGCACGGTACATGATCTCCCTTTGATCTCCTCTCTCTGTCACCAAATGCAAGAAGTGATGTATGTTATATCACTTCCGCATTCTGCTGTTACTCTCCAGCTTCAGAAGCTGGTGTAGCAGATCTCGGTTTCATCAACTTCCCTGGGGGTCCCTAGGTGACATTAGGGGTCTTCAAGACCCCTGATGTCTCCATAAAGAGGACCTGTCATGTAAGTTGGCTTTCACATAGGGGGCTTCTCACCCCTATGTGATAGTAATAAAGTTTTTTGTTTTTAAATAAAAATGAATGAAGCATAAAAAACTATTTTTTTTAAAGTTCCCTGCCCCCCACATACACTCGCTGATATGCGTCGGGTGCGCCTACGTGCGAAAATGACGATTGCGCCTATTGTGCCGCACATGTATATCGCTGCGAACGTGTATAGTGAAAGCAATAATTCTAGGGCTATTAATTACTGATAACACTAAACTGATGAACAATAAAAGCGTTTTAAGCTTCGCCTATGGCCAATTTTTAATGTGGTCGTCTTTTGCAATTTTGCGGGTGCGTGCTATTTTAAGGCTTCACATGTTTGGTGTCTATTTACCTGGCGTGACCCCCGTCTTTTATATTTTACCAAAAATATGGGGAAGAATAATTGTATTATAACATAACGTTGGGAAACATTTGGTTTTTTTTCTAAATTCATGGTACTTTTTTCATTATATAGTAAAAAATAACCCCCCCAGTGGTGATTTATATATGGTCCGGTCATGCTGACTGGTGTAATTTTTGACTGACTGGTGAGACACCCTAAAATTTTTCAAGCCCTGGTCGTACTTTTTTAGTTATCTTTTAAAAATTGCCCCTAAAATTATTGCTCTCACTCTGGTGCACGTGGTGATACCTGTAAATATGATTTTTTTTTATATCATACTCTTATTATGTAGAAAAATTGATGGCAGAAGTTCAAAAGAGAAAATTGCTTCCGTTCTTGTATAAAAATAACAAATGTGTTTAATTACAAATGATTACAAGATAAAAAAGCATGAAATAAAATAGTTATGTAAATGTATAGACAAGTTCTTGCAAAAGTTTAGTGTGGCAAAAGGCCGGCACTAAGAGTATTAAATGTGTCCCAAACAATAACAAAACCAATGGACCAGCTGCAACAATGTCGTGTTGTAACCGCGTGTAGTAGAGCTATTATGTTGCGCTCGGTCTAAATGTGAAAACCAATATCTCTAAAAATTAAGTGAGTGAAGATCACCTCCTGCTAGTGCACCATAGCTAAATGGAAGTGTTTATGTTGTGAAAAATTCTTATCTGTGCAACAATCTTATGTATCACAATCTAAATCCCAACATCAAACCCTCTGTTGACGTACATAATCCGATGCGATTCCTTAATCTCCTTATTCACTCTAAACTGTACATTGTGCTTAGAATATTCTTATTCAGCATATTCAGTATCTATACATGACTGGGCACAACGAGACATGCCACGGAGGGACACAGAACAGCTGGACACAACGAGACATGCCACGGAGGGGCATAGAACAGCTGTCTCGTTGTGCTTCACCCCTTTGTGAATAACGCTGTGTTTCAGCACTTGGCGCCAAAATAGACAGTACTGTACTGTCAGGCAGAGTGATCTCTTCCCAACAGTACAACAAGTATAGTCTCAGACCCATTGGGGAGTGAGAGAGCAGCTCAGAAGTGTGTGATCGGGTAAGGGGTTTAAATTTTACGGTTGTAGCGATAACTCCCCACAAGGAGCCGCTGTTTGCCCGGTCCACATCTAGTCAGTCTAGGGGTTGATTTCCAGCTGCACCCATTAGCACTAACCGCCCTCTCCTGGTGCCCATAAATTGATGTCCACTTCAGTGATATGATGCTAGTTGAACATTTTATTGAACTTCTAATTAGGGAGAGAGGGTATAGGGGTTCTAGGTGTCTTGGGGTAACCATCATCAGCTCCAGACTCACCGGATCTTGTAACAGTAGGAATGCCTATCCACAATCCAAGAAAGAAACACTGACCATGCTCTGAAGTCCACATAGATCCAGGGCACTTCAAGAGCCGGTACTGGTCCTGGTTCTTTTCTTCTCTCCATCTCTCAGACCTCCTCCATGTTGGAAGCCTCAGGGGAACATCTTCCCTCACTTCAGCCACTGCCCACCCTCAGGCCTCGGCTGAAAAGGACTAAGCCCTACTCCATGGCTGGTCCAGGCGAGAGAGCGAGCACATGGCAGCTCCCACCAATATATGTACACTCTGCCAACAGGCACCACTGGCTGAGACAAGCCCAGTGATTAGCTGCTGTACTGCACATATATTGCAATGTCTCCTATTGGCTGTCCCACAATATGACAGAGTCTCACTCCGCCCAGGGGGGTACAGACAAGGTTCGACACCTGGTATTAACCATGTAATTGCTACTGCAAATCCAGCCAGGCAGTCTACAGCCCTGGCTATCACTAAATGCATAATAGTCACATCACAAAAGGTGATGGGCGCTACACTGTCACTGTACTAACCAAAAATGCATGGAAGGGGGTTTAAATTCAAAGCCACTGCACTGACCACCATTGGGGGAGACCGAAGAGGTTAAAAAACATCGCCACTGATTGGGGGTACTAATACAGTCAATAACACCAAATCTGTGGGGGTTTTTTATCGTGGTCAATGGCACCAATGCTGGGGGTTACTATTGTGGTCACTTACACCAATGCTGGGGGATTTGATTGAGACCAGTGACGCCTCCAACAGTGTGTGGAATGTTACAAAGATGGAGCAGGACTGAAATTTTAGTGCATTGAGGTGCGTTACAGCCCATTCATTTTGAATTGGCTGCTCGACGCGCCAAAATGTGATGCTGTTGTGTCAAAACGTCTGGGAGTGTCAGGTTTATATTTGACGCCCTCTATAATTTTCAGGTTGACGAACACTGCTCTATAGCATTCCCCTTCACTTTTTTCCCACCACCTACATGGGAGGTGGGGAGATGCTGGGCCAGCACGGAAAGTACTGAGGCACTCTAGAAGTTCAGAGGGTTTTGACTTGCAGGAAAGGAGGGGGGCTGTGCTAGGAAATTGACTGGTCAAAATATTCTAGAAAGTACACGGGTACATTGCAAGTGCAAAAAATTTATGGAAAGCAGAAACAGTGCAAGTAAGCATTTAAAACACTGGATTTTTCTGTTCTTCTACCTGTAGTTTTTTCTTTAAAGTTAATGACAGGATCTCTTTATGCTCTTGAGCTTATTACTCACACTTCTGCTGCTGACTTTAATAAACATTCTTTTCCAGAATTCCAAAACATGTCAAATGAAAATGAACAAGCTAGAAGAATCCACTTCTCCAAGGTTTACCGGACTAAATAATGATCCTAGTGAAAATGCCAGGTTTAAAAGGAAAACAACATTCATGGGTACTATGCCTGCTTCAAGCAATCAAATATCTAAAAAGCCAAAACAATCTAGTTTTTTAGTACAATGTATGAATAAAGAGAGAAGCAGAACACCGCCACAAACTACCCTTAAGCCTCTTACACTTCTAAAGCATTGCTCTGACAAAAACAAGGAATACAATATATTGGCTGTTGTGCTTCAGCCCTGCCACGTTAAAAAAATCCAAAGCAGGACAAATTCTGGCTCATCATTTCCCTTGGCAACAATTGTTGTTCAGGACCAATCAAATGTCAAATGTAAAGTTCTTATTTGGAGGACTGCTGCTTTTTGGAGCTTGGCCTTATTCCCCGGAGATATCATAATGCTAACAAATTTGTCAGTTTACGAAGATAAGTGGAACAAAGAAACCTTCCTTCAATCTATGTTTAATAGTCATTTTATAAATCTAGGACACTGCTTTACCCTTATCACAGATGAATATGCAAATATTGTTGAATATTTTGTTCTACAGGAGCTACTGAACTACATATCCAAAAAGCATTGCTACTTGAGCGATTTTCCTTTTCATCCTCCTCAGAAACTAGATTGCATACAGTATGTAAGACTTTCTCAGCTTCAGCCAGAGGTATTAGTTAATTCAATATTAAAGGTGGTTAACATATCTGTTCTAAAGGAGTGCACATATAATTTCAAGGGATTGCAGCAAAATAAAATAATTTTGACTGTAGAAGAAATAAAAGGACAAATCGGTACATTAATATTGTGGGGAGCAAGTGTCTCCTGGTGTGAGCAGATCTACATGAAAATAAATCATGTCTGGGCTTTTAAATATCTATTTTGCAAAAAGAGTTTGATTTCAGGAGATGTGGAGTTACATACAACACCATGGTCATCTTGTGAGTGCTTATTTGATGATGACAAAAGAGCTGTAGATTTTCAAAACAGATATTATGAAAATATATCTCATCCAAGGATAATGAGTCTGAGGACAGTCACTGAAGGTAGATATTCAGGTGACATTCAGATTAAAGTCAGCATTTCTGAATTGGAATTTAATGTTGCAGGAAATCAAAGCATACGTGTGAACAAACAAACTTCCATAACTAAGATTCTGAGTTCTTTGCCTTTGGTTATATACACAGGATGTGGAAAATGCAGAAAAGAACTGACAATAGACATTAATCATGTGTATGAGCAGTGTTTTAATTGTTTACCTTTTAACCAAGTTAGACTTTTCTACAGGCCAGCCTTAATGACCGTGAGAAGTGAGGCAGATGAGAATTTTGTCCATGTACCGTCAGATGTTCTTGAGAAAATCTTCTTAAATATTTCCCCTAACATATTACACAAACTTGTTTCTGGATTATCAAATGTAACTTATGGAGCCATTGTTGCAGACAGTTGCCACTCACTTCTGGCAAATAATGGAGACGCATATTTGCTCACAATAAAAAGTCACTTTTCAATTGATGAAAATAGTGTACCACTTGTGCAGGAATTTAATGTTTTGTCTTTCTTTGTTCCCGTTTGAAGGGTAACTCCTGCTTTGCAACTTTTTGTTATGACTGTTTTTGTTTCATTAGACGTGCACAAGACTTTCCACTGTTCCCAGTAGAAAATAAAAAGTGGAAGTGTAGGAACATCTTAATGCAAATGTAATACCGTGTATGTAAACATTCCATAGTAAAGTGTATTTCAAGGTATAATTAAAAACATATTTAGTAAATCTCTGCTGTACACGCACCTTTCCTGATGTTTTATAATAAACACTGCAAATAAATAAATAAACTGTTGATGTACCAGAAATATAGGGTGCTGCTACCTTCCTCTTTGATATGACAACACAGTGAGCGGAATTAATCAAAACTTGAGCATCACTGCTTGGCAACCAGTCAGCTTCTTTCTTTACTTTTTTTTGTTCATATTTTTGTTTCACAATCTTATTATTTTCTGAAAAAGAATACATGTACAAAACATAACGGTAAGGTTAGTGTGCTGACTCAGCACTCGTAACCTTCATTAAGAACAATAAAAACAGAAGCATAGTATAGCTGTCACAGTTCAGCTGCAGAGTGGCAGCTGAGCTGTTACTTTTAGTTCTACAATTATATGCAGACCGCTTACCCCTGGTTCTCCATGCATGCAGGACTGTGCTGTTGCTTGTAGTCCTCCAGGCATGTGCTCTGAACCTGACTCGCTCTTGCACCAGTCTGGCAGCTGTAGGCGTTGGTCGACTCTCCTGCTGTTTCTTAGGTAGCTTCTCAGCCAATCAGTGCAGTCTGCCTGTGGCCAATCCTGTGGATCCTCCCCCTTGCTGACCCTATTTAAACCCGGGGCAGCGAACGGCAAGCTGACCGAGCAACGCTCTCCCAAACTAGATGCTGAGCTCCAAAGCCCCGTCCTGGTTGCCATTGCACCAGAGTTCCTTGGAGTTTACCCATGTACTGAACTTGACTTGTCCCTGGAAATCCCAGTCTTCAGGTCTGTCCCTATCCTTTGGATTGTCCCTGGAAGTTCTGGTCATCTGTCTCTCCATGACCTTTGTTTTGTCTGTTGTATGTGTGTCTGCAACCTGTCCAGAACTCTGGCCTTGTCTACCATTCTTGGCTGTTAGGTGAGTTGGGTGGACCTAGGGATTGTGACCTGGGATCAGTACGCAGCCAAGTCCATCTCCACCATCAGGAGCTCTGGTGAACACTGGCTGGCTCTTAGATTCCACATCCTGGGGGACCCCATGCCACCTACCTAGCATTGCAGCACCCTGCCTAGTACCTTAACCTACCAGCCTAATGTGTCTTCCACTGCCTGTTCCCTGCTAGTACTCCAGCTCTGGGAGTTGTTAGCCTACATTGCTTGCACCCTTTTCTGTGTCCCTGCCAGTGTAGTAGATAGGGTCCACATACCCGATTCCAGTTTATACCCATGAGACCTGTCTGTGACAATAGATTTGAATATTATATAAACAAAAGATACTAAAATGTTAAACTTCCGGAATGCCAACTTATTCATCTCCATTATGATCACATCGTTTTGACATTTCCAGTGGGATTACAGCATAGAATTGGTAAACATATATTATATTACCTATCTACTCAGGCAGATAAGTAATGGGGTAGGTAAAGTACTAAATCTCCAAAAATATATATTTTATATTATACCAAAAAAAGAAGAAGGTTAAAAAGAGAGAGAAAGGGAGGAAAATTGAGAGAGAAGAGAAGGATGAGATTACAAGATAAAAAATAGGTTAAGATGCAAGCCAGAAAGCAGAAGAGAGAAAGGTAGAAGGGGAGACATCCCAACAGATGATCCTTCAGAACGGAGGTGACACTGTTTTTAGAGCAAGAGGCTATGTTGCTCCAGATTGATGACCAATCGTCATCTGCAAAATCGTATCCTAAATCTTTCGAACATGAGGACCGATAGGAAGTCTTCCTAGTAGAAAACGAGGCAGACAATGAAGATTGGAGAATCGTGATCAATCCTTGGGCATGGGGATCATTATGACAGTGACTTCCAAAAGGAGATAGAGTATAGGGAGGAGAGGGGGTAGAAGAAATTAGTAAATAAAACTGTTACTCAATTTATAACATTTGTATTGTCTTTTTTCTGGATTTTTGGTTGAAATGCTGTCTATTATTTACACCTATGATAAAAATTATAGACCTTTTAATTTCTTTGTAAGTGGGCAAACTTGCAAAATCTGCAGGGGATCAAATGATTATTTTTGTCACTGTATGGTCAATTTGGGAATGTGAGTGGTGAGAATAAAAAGTATAATCTCTAGCAATGGGGTGAAAGTCCCTCCAAATATCTACAAGGTTGTATTGATTTAGGAGCAATTGCAAAGTCTTTGATTCAGTAATTGAAGAGGATTTGTCTAACCTAGAGTTGATCACAGTTGGAATCCCCACAGAATAATATATATCCCTTGGAATGTGAGGAGAGCAAGTGTGAAAAGAAGGGCAGTTGTCTAGAATTGGGGGCAAATCATGTAAGAACAGTGAGGTCAGCATTATTGAGTTTGCCCTGAAGGAGAAGGTACCGTATTTTTCCCTCTATAAGACGCCCCCAACTTTTCTTACCTAAAATTAATCACGTTATGCTCCGACATTACAGCTCTGGCTACACGCTCTCCCCAGCAACAGCTGACGTCAGGTACAAAAGATTTATGATCGGATTACAGAGACAAGATAAGTTTTGCTCCAATCATAAATCTTTTGTACCCGACATCGGCTGTTGCTAGGGAGAGCGGATTACAGAGCCCCTCTCCCCAGCAACAGCTGATGTCAGGTACAAAAGATTTATGAGGAAGATTTGGAGGAAAAAACTTATCTTGTCTCTGCAATCTGAAGTTTCACTCGTGAGGCTAGTTTGCAGTGGTGTCGCAACCACGGTTCTCCGCTCGGCCCCCGTGTATAAGACGCCCCTCTATTTTTAGGTAAACATTTTAATGAAAAAGTAGCGTCTTATACACGGAAAAATACAGTAATGACCATTTGGATCCGAAATCTGTTTAACACATGGAAATTGACTATTTATATGAAATGCAATGAGGACCCCTCTGCGTTTAGTGTCAGTAGTAGATTGAAATACTTGAGGGTACTTGGCATCAAAGTACTTAGGAGAAGGAGGAAGAGAAATTAGTTTCCTGGAGGCAAGCAATGTTGACTCGATGGGACCTGAGTTAGCAAAAAATCTTAACTCTTTTATGAGTGGCATTCATGCCCTGTACATTGAGAGAAAGGCAGTTGTAACATATTCAACAAGAATGTCAAAGGCCATTCATCGAACAACTCCGAAGGCCACAGGGATAAGCATCGTCTGTTGGTAAAGGAAAATGGGAAACGGCCTGCAGAGCTGTACAACAAGGGAAAACATATACCTTAAGAAAGCTAGGATGGGAAGGAAAGGAGAAAGGGAAGGATAGGTGGAAAA